TTGCATAAGGGCTTCCCTGCTCCAAGGATCAGAATATAGTCTTTAATTTCTGCCAACACTTCACTTTGTTTAATCCATTTAAAACTTATTCTGGTGTGAGGAAGAGATCCAAATTTATTTATTTTTCCAAATAGATGGACAATTGGCTCAACTGCCTTTATTGAATAGGCCATTCTTTGTCATATCTTAAATTCTCTTATAGACTAGGGTCTATTTCTTGACATTCTAGTATATCTCATTGACATATTTGTCTTTTCTTGTACCAGTACTTTACTGTTTTAATTACTATACCTTTATAGTATGTTTGACATCTTGTTAGGGAAGTGTTCCCTTAGTTGTTTTATTTTTCAAAAATTTCTTGGCTATTTTCAGGCATTTTCTTTTCCAGACAGATTTTAGACTTAAGTTCCTTAAAAAGGCCTTTTGCATTTTGATTGGGGTTTCCTTGACTTTGTGGATTTGGGGGATTTGTGGATCAATTTTAGAAAGATCACTCTGATTGCAGTTTGAAGAATGAGTTGGAGGGAGGTAAGACAGAAAGCAGGGAGACAATTTTTCTGTCAAGGACCAGATAGTAAATGCTTTCAGCTTAGCAGGCTGTATGGTCTCTGTTAGCAGGCCTATAACGTGTAGGTGATATAGAAGTAAGTGGACATGGCTGTGTCCTGATGCAGCTTTATTTACAAAAAAGGTGATGAGCCAGATTTGGCTTGCGAGCTGTTGTTTTCCAGCCCCTGATTTCGGCTGTTGCAGTGATTCAGGTAAGAGATGATACTAGCATAAACTTGAGAAGTGGCAGCAGGAAAAAAAAAGATCAATTCAAGAACAAATTAGGAAGTGGCATTGTGAGGACTTGGTGATTAACTGGATGAAAGGTGGGAGGGAGAGGAAGAAGTCAAGGCTAGTGTCCAGGTGTCTGGTTTGGACATCTGGATGGCTGATGCGATCGTAAGGAGACGGTGGGAGAAGAGCAGGACTGTGGTTAGCATTGCAGGGGAGGGCTGGAGATGCCTTGCTGGATTCTGGCCTTGCTTCGTGGAAAGCGCCTGTGTAGTTAGCATTGCAGGGGAGGGCTGGAGATGCCTTGCTGGATTCTGGCCTTGTTTCGTGGAAAGCGCCTGTGTGGTTAGCATTGCAGGTGAGGGCTGGAGATGCCTTGTTGGATTCTGGCCTTGTTTCGTGGAAAGCGCCTGTGTGGGCTGTCAAAGAGAAGACACTCAGTAGGCAGTAGAACATCGATGTCTGGGACTCGGGAGGAGAGGTCAGGGCTGGAGCTACGGTTTAGGAGTTGTCAGCCGCAGGTGGTAATTGAAGCTATGGGCATGGATGAGATTTACCCAGAGAGAGCGTGCAGAGGGAGCAAAGAAGTGACCCAAGCCATGTTTCTGAGGAACCAGTCACATTTAAGGAACACACATGGAAAAAGAATTCCTCATAGGAGTCTGAAAAGAAGGGGCCAGTGAGGAGAGAAGGAAAACAAGAGAGTGTGGTATCAAGAAAAGCCCAGGGGGGACTCCCCTGGCAGTCCAGTGGTTAAGACTCCGTGCTTCCAATGCAGGGGGCGGGGGTTCGATCCCTGGTTGGGGAACTAAGATTCAGCATGCCTCAAGGCGTGGCCAAAAAAAGGAAAAGCACAGGGAGGAGAGGACCGAAGGATGAGGAGGTGTTTCCTGGTGTGAGATGCTGCTGAGAGGTCAGCGAGATCAGAACTGAGAAGTATCCATGGGGTTTAACAAGTTTGTTGACGAGCTTAATGAGAGATTTCACGTGGTGGGAAGGACAGAAGTGATTGGAGTGGGTCGCATTGTGAATGGAAGGTGGGGAGGTAGAGTGTAGAGAACTCCTATGACTGAGAAGAGAGCGTGGTGGTTAATTGGAAGTATAGGGTCTGCGGGAGTTTCTTTTAAAAAGAGAAGAATCTAGAGATGTGTAAACTGGTGGCAAAGACAAGAGAGAGGAAGAGGCTGAAGTACCAGTGAGTGAGAAATAAATATATATGCAAGACCTCCATGACTCGTAAAGTGCTGTGCAAAATTAGTAATTTACTCTTCCCTCGGAGTCAAGAGGCTCTTTGGTCCAGTGCTGTGCGTGTAGAGGGCACTTAGGAGTGGTTGAAGGCGTCGAATGCGAAGAAGAGAAGGGGGATTAGAGAGCAGCTGCAGGGTCTCTCTGGGCTGGCCAGGTGTGCACTGGGCTGCGTCAATGGGCTCCAGCCTCGGGGGCTGGTGGTAGTTCAGAGCTTCTGCGTTGATAGATATAGTAGGACTGAGATAAGTTATAAGTCCTGCTGTGAAAAACAGTTCACCATGTGGAAAGTATTTTTAGGTCTTTAGAGCAGAGGGCTTTATTGATACTGTTAGCAGAAATTCACTGAACACCATTCTGAATTTGGAGACAATAAATTCATAGTAACTAACAACATCCCTTAGAGCGTACAGAATTGGGGCTTTCTCTTGTGGTCGTTTGGGGTCAGTTTCTAGTGGAAACATCCAGCTCCCCCTTCAGGTCGGTATCCAACAAGGTTCAGTTAACTTCCAAGCTCTTGCTTTGGGGACATCAGTTATTAATAAACAAACACTCGCCTGGAATTCTATGGTCATCCTGCCAGGCAGGCTCCCAACTTTCTGGTCCCTGTCAGACACCAGCTAATGCTTCATAGCATGACCCGCTGAGAGTGGCACTAAACACTAATTGTGTATTTAAGTCCTCTGTGTTTTGCTCCTCTTTATCCAAGAATACTGGTTAAAAAATGTCTGAACAGAGAGCGGCCTGTTCATGTGAGGGAGAAATTATACATGGAAGGCATTGCCAAGCATGTGAAATTTGTCATACTGAGTCATTGAGGGTGACTTAGCTTTCTTCTTTTCAAAAAAAAATTTATTTATTATTTTTGGCTGCGTTGGGTCTTTGTTGCTGCGCGTGGGCTTTCTCTAGTTGCGGCGAGCGGGGGCTACTCTTCCTTGCGGTGCACGGGCTTCTCATTGCAGTGGCTTCTCTTGCTGCAGAGCACGGGCTCTAGAGCACGCGGGCTTCAGTAGTTGTGGCTCGTGGGCTCTAGAGCGTAGGCTCAGTTGTTGTGGTGCATGGGCTTAGTTGCTCCGCGGCACGTGAGATCTTCCTGGACCAGGGCTCGAACCCATGTCCCCTGCATTGGCAGGCGGATTCTTAACCACTGCGCCACCAGGGAAGCCCTAGCTTTCTTCTTAAATCTTTGGAAATTTCTTTTCCTCTAGTGAAGACAAGCTATGAGGCAGGTGATTATCCTGACAGTCTCTGGCATTGTATTCTGCTTTTTATTTTGGTGTATTTTGCCACTGATTTTGAGTATAGAGTTGTAACTGTTTTCTATAGTATTATTCATATTTGATCAGCATGCTATAATTATTTTTTTTAAATATGACAACTTAAAAGCTCTCTGTAAGGTTTGATTTCATTCAGGACAGATTATTTCTTTTGAACTATATCTCCAATCTTACAATGGTGTTAATAGGTTTTACTAATAGAAATTTGTGTTAAGGTAAAATTTTTTCAGAATGCTAGTTACTAGAATTCATCAAACCAAAGTGGTCCTACTATGTGGTAGGCCCCAGACTAGGTTCTAGGGAAACATATAAATTTAACACTATTCCTGTTCTCAGGGATCTTGCTGTTCAGATGGCATTTTGCAAAATGTGTTTTGCAGATACTAGTTAAATGAGATTCCTTGGTCAAATAAATTGGAAAAATATTGCTTGCTTCATCTCCAGTGATCTTAGAGAGTCTCATTGTATACAAGTATATTATTATGGGTAAGAGCAGTCCTACAGTAAAGAAAGCTCTTTACTAAAAGAACCCTTAAAAAAGCTCTTTGTATATGTTTATTTCAGGGTTTCTCAAATTCATATCACACAGAAGCTCTGTGTATGTGTGTGCATGTGTAAAAGTTTTTAACATCTTGAGGACCCTTTGAAACAGCATCACCCAGTAGAACTTTCTACAGTGATAAAAATGTTCTGTATCTGCGCTGTCCAATACAACAGCCACTAGCCCCATGTGTCTGTTGTGCACCTGAAATGTGGTTACTATGACTAAGGAACTGAATTTTTAATGTTATTTAACTTTAATTTAAACTTAAACAGCCACATGTGGCTAGTGGCTTCCCTATTGGACAGTGTAGCTTTGGAAGCTAGTTTGAGAAATATTGATCTAAAGGTGTGTTTTACTTATTCATTCTACAAACATTAACAAGTTGATGGTGGTCACTGAGTAAAATCATCCTTATCTTTTTTTTTTTAACATCTTTATTGGAGTATAATTGCTTTACAACGTTGTGTTAGTTTCTGCTGTATAACAAAGCGAATCAGCTATACGTACACATATATCCCCGTATCTCTTCCCTCTTGTGTCTCCCTCCCACCCTCCCTAAGCACCCTTGTCTTCAAGGAGCCCCTAGTTTGGTGGGGGCAGCAGGTACCCACTGTGTAATGATGGGTCCAAGGGGATTACTTGGAGCACCGAGAAAGGATTTCAGCTTTGGGTGGTGTCCTGGAGGTATCCTAGAGAACGAGTATGTGTATTGAAATTCACTTCCTATTTCAAAGTGGAGTTACTACCTCTTCATTGCAGGAGCAGTTCGTATGTCTCCAGTTCTTATCCAGATAAAATCACCCTTGGTGGGAGTTGCAGGAGTAGAGTAACATGACCTCACTCGTGTCCATTCTTCTGCCCACCAGCAGTCAAACCTTGTACTATACGGTGGACAGTGTGTGGCAGGTGAACATGAAACATGGCCCCTTCGAATACCCCCAAATCATCTTCTTAGTGGGTTTGTGCTGGTGCTGTCAATCATAGTGAGTTTGATGGAAGCAGGGATGGGCACAGTGCCTGGTGTTACTGTCTCTGGGCTTGTGGAAGGCCTCTTGAAGGGGTTGAGATTTTAGCAGCAACTTTAAGTGTCTGTGTTTTGTTTGTTCCTCTCAGACACCAGTTGTCTGAACTTTATCTTTCTTCTTTCCCTCCAGATGGTGTCCTACTCCTCCGTCCTCACAGCTATCAGTAAGGTATGACCATAGACACTCACAAGCTAGATGGGGGGTGGGGGAACAGAGATATGGTAGTGACAAATGGGGCCCCACCTCCTTGACTGCTCTGATCGAGTGACCTCTGTGGCTGGGCAGGCAGCACAGCGTGCCTCTGGCTGGCATGGCTGCCTCCCATTAGAGGGAGCGGGATCCTAGGAAGTGGGCACTGGCAATTAGGAGCCAATTTCCAATGTTGAAAGGCTGCCGAGTCTGAAACCTGGGGTTGGAGGAAAGATGAGTAGGACTCCTGAATGCGCCAGCTGCCTCATGCTTGAGACTGGGGGGTGACTGGGACACCCCGTCGCATCGCCACTGTTCTCTCCACAGTTTGATGACTTTTCCCGGGACCTGTGTGTCCAGGCTTTGCTGGATATCATGGACATATTTTGTGACCGACTGAGGTAATGGCAGGGGTGAGGAGCTCACCACCTTCCAGCAGCGTCTTAGCGTAGAGACGCTCCCGGCATATAGGCTCAGGGCACCTCTGTTGGTTCTCACACTTCTTCCCACCTGCTCGTCTGCACCCACCCACCCACATCTTTTCCTACTTACTCCCTTAGGACTAAAGTGCCTCTTCTCTATTTGGAGTCACTCATTTGAAATCTTATCCAGTGAAAGCCAACAGGGCAGTCTTCCCCAGGACTTTGCAAGCTTCCCAACTTTCTTCCCTAGTAAGGGAGTGCCCGGCACTCTGGGGAACATGGGTGTGGGTCGGATTTCAGCCTTTGGATCAAAGACAGATTTTGCATCCTTTCCCGGTAGCTGTCACGGCAAAGCAGAGGAGTGCATCGGGCTGTGCCGGGCCCTTCTCAGTGCCCTCCACTGGCTGCTGCGCTGCACTGCAGCCTCTGCAGAGCGGCTCCGGGAGGGGCTGGAGGCCGGCACCCCAGCAGCCGGTGAGAAGCAGCTTGCCATGTGCCTGCAGCGCCTGGAGAAGACCCTCAGCAGCACCAAGAACCGGGCCCTGCTCCACATCGCCAAACTAGAGGAGGCCTGTATGTCCCCTGGTTCCCTGAGCCCCACCTGTCACTGCTTCCGTAGCCGGTTCTTTAATTGAGAGGGGAGAGGCAGGATGCCATCCCACTTTTTTCCAGGAGGATCTGAAATCATCCCACTTCCTTTTTTTTCTCCCCATAAGCATTGCATACATCCCAGGGACTTGGGCAGGGTGGCACCCGAGCCAATCAACCAACAGGTATTTACTGAGCATTATTGTATGCCCAGCACTGTGCCAGGTGCTGGGGGTGGGGGCGGGGGGCTACCGAAGGGGCATGTGGCAGGGTCCCTGCCCTCAACAAGTGTACGTGCTAGTGGGGAGCAAGGCTAGTACGTAATATACATGGAAAAAACGAGAGGTCAAGACAAGCACGCCATCCATCGCTGTGTTTGTCTCCATGTGACTCATCTGAAAGCAAATAACTTTTGTGTTTGAGTGCTGCCTAAAACATCCCTTTAAATGCAGTGCCTGCCTGCTGCCAGGCCTGTTGAGCCATACGCCTCTTGACTCAAGTGCAGATATTAAACGTTGGAACCCTCCAGAGCCCGGGATCAGACAGATCACCTGGTGGGAGGGAAGACGGGTATTTCTGGACATGGGCCTGAAGGCCACGGTCTTGCTGATGAGGCTTGGGGCTGCCTAAGGGTCGCTTGTTCTCCAGTAACGAGAATGCTGGGGTGGCCTCTACACAGGTCTTTAGGACCTGGTTGAAGGACTTGTTACAGGATTAGTCTATTTATTACTTCTCAAAATATGGTTATTGGCTATGAAAAGTCCAGAAAGATGATCACTATGTAAAAATGGGCTATGTTGACAGTTTGTCTATTTTGAGCGCTTGACAAATGTTTATTGGCTGAAAAATGAATGAATTTTTAACTTAATTTTATTGGATCTCAGGTCTTATCTTTTTGTTTTTTTTCCCCTATGCTACATGGAGGTTAATGGGCTAGTTGGTGCCATTATTCATCATTTGACCCTCTGGAAGTGTAACTAGGATAAGTGACTTATAAGTGCCAAACTATGTGGTATAGACCATGAGTTCAGGCATTTAGGAGTAAGAGGTCAGTGGGTTGGACCAGCTGGGTAAGTTGTTAAAGGAGCCGGGGCTTGAACATAGACTCGCAGGGCAGTGAGAGTGTGAGGGGAGAAGGTGAGTAGGAGGGGCTTTTCAGAGGGGAGAACAGCCAGAGCAAAGGCTCAGACAGGGAGCCGGTGAACACAGGAGGCTGTTTAGGGGTCCAGCTTGACTGCAGTGGAGAGCGGTGGCCGCTTGCAAGGCTGGCCCACTCTCGAAATGATTTGTGGTCACCTCCCTGTGCTGGCCGCTGAACTGCAAGCCCCCTGGGCCTCTCTCTGTCACTGCCTGTCTTCTGCCGTACCTAGTTTCTGAAGTCAGCTGTGGGCGACCCCTAAGGAATCGGGCTTCTGGGGATCGTTTCTAGTGGCTTCATCATTGGTGCCCACCCCCCTTCTGGAAACAGTGCATGCTGCCCTCAGGCCCCTAGCCTCCATGCCATCCTCGGGGGAAGCCTCCCTGCGTGGTTTTTGTGGGCCCAGGGGGTGCCAAGTCAAGGAGTTTGGGGCCAGTCTCTCTCTCTCTTCTGCTCCCCATGATTCTCTGCATTTTCTTTTCTCTGCCAGCCTCCTGGACTGCCATCGAGCATTGTCTCTTGAAGCTTGGGGAGATCCTGGCCAATCTCAGCAACCCCCAGCTCCGGAGCCAGGCTGAGCAGTGTGGCACGCTCATTAGGAGGTACCGGCTCCCAGGGTGATCTGGTGAAGGGAGAGAGGAAAGGCCCGGGCATGGGTGGGAAGATGTGGCCTCTGGCCCTGACCCCCCTGCTCTCACCTCCTCTCTGACTCTCCCTTACCGCCCGCACAATGTCCCCTCTGTGTCCCCTCAGCATCCCCACCATGCTGTCCGTGCACTCTGAGCAGCTGCACAAGACTGGCTTCCCCACAGTCCACGCGGTGGTTCTGCTTGAGGGCACCATGAACCTGACTGGCGAGACACAGCCCCTGGTGGAGCAGCTGATGATGGTGAAACGCATGCAGGTGGGAGGCCAGGGCTGCTTCTCTGTCCCCGGGCCGGGCCGGCTGTGCGGGGGCGGGAGGGAGGATTCTTCTGGTCTTTCAAGGGAGAAATAGGGTTTCTCCTAATTCGTGGTGGAACGTGCATGGTTCTGTCAGGTGGAATGGTTCTGCCATGTCACCTGCTGTCCCTGGTTCTTGCACAAGAGTCGGGGAGGTGCCTGTGCTGCCCTCCTGTGACCCACTGACCCCTGGGGGTCAGGAGACGGGAGGGGGGTGGGCGCCCTCTTATGCTTTCCCTTGGGTCTTCCCACAGCATATCCCCACCCCGCTCTTTGTCCTGGAGATCTGGAAAGCCTGCTTCGTGGGCCTCATCGAGTCTCCTGAGGGCACGGGGGAGCTCAAGTGGACAGCTTTCACTTTCCTCAAGGTACCTGGGACGTGGGAGCCACGGAGGCAGTCTCAGAGGACGTGGGAGCCACGGAGGGCCAGTCTCAGAATGGTTCTCATGAAGAGCGGAGACACCCTGGACCTTTGCCCCGCATTTCTCCCCACTGACTTCATGCCCAGCTTGCCAGATCCCCCAGCACAAGTTGCCCTGATTTTCCCTGAAGGTCCCAGGGCTGTTTAGCCTGCTTGGCAGGCCTCTGCCATGTCTTGGCCCACAGGTGCTGGGAGCTTGGTCATCAGCCATGTTGGCACGGGGCGGCTCCGGGAACCCACTTTCACTTAGAGCATTTCCTTGTTGAGCCACGGAAGTGCGGGGTTCCCGGGCCCTGCAGACTGAGGGCAGCGGGCGCTTGGCTAGACGTCAGCTTTCTCATTTGGCTCTTTGAGCGCTTTCACTTCCAGGGCAGGAGTGTTCCTGTCTCAACCCAGAGCAGGGGGACGGAAGGGATGCCTTTTGTTCTGGGTGAAAGAGAGAAGAAATTGAGCTTCCTGTTTTCCCCCCTGCCTCACCCTGTAGATTCCACAGGTTTTGGTGAAGTTGAAGAAATACTCCCATGGGGACAAGGTAAGTTAAAGAAATGAGATGGGAGTTGGCATGGGAACAGGTGAATCCTTGTTACAGCTCTGGAGAAACAAGGGCAAGGGAAGGGTCACTTGGCCCTACCTGGGCTGTAGTGCGTTCTTGTGCTGGGGAGGGCTGGAGGCGGGGGTATCCCCCGAGCATCTGCGGGCGTCCACGCACAGAAGGCAGCCAGGCTGCTCCGGACGCGAGGGTGCCCGAGATGACCAGGGCCGAGATGGCAGGGAGCAGTGATGCCCCATACTGTCCTCGTCCAGTCGCTGGAAGCCAGCAGTGGGCACGGCCGACCTGTAGGCTGTTGTACCCAGCAGGTTGTCTTTGTGAGCCTGCATCACGGGCCATGGGTGGAGCGGAGGACCTGGAAGCCAGATGGCAGTTTCTGTCTCTTTGCAGGACTTTACCGAGGATGTCAATTCTGCTTTTGAGTTCCTGCTGCAGCTTACACCCTTGCTGGACAAAGCTGACCAGCGCTGCAAGTATGAGGCCCCCTGCTCACCTCGCTGTACTGGAAGGAGCTCTGGCTCTTCCCCTGCTCTTTGTGCCAGATCAGCACCAGGGGACCGGCTCCTTGTTCCTCCTCTCAGCAGGGGCAGGAGGCAGCAGCCCCGTGGTTGCCGAGTGCCCAAGCCCCTCTGCCTTCCCTCAGGCACTCAAAATGTTCTTCACCCTAAAGGAGGGAGGATGTTGGGCAGGGCCTCACGGCTCCCCCTCCATAATCCCTGCAGTATGCCTAGGCCCCCCATCATCTTTTTCCCTCACAGCTGTGACTGTACAAATTTCCTACTCCAAGAATGTAGCAAGCAGGGGCTTCTGTCTGAAGCCAGTACGAACAACCTCATGGCCAAGCGGTAAGTATGAGCTCCCGGGCTGGCCCAAGGGCCCCTTGCCCACCCGCCTCATGTCCAGACTGGGCTGCTGGGTGCCTTTTCCCTCCTGTCGGGGGTTTGAGTGTGGGTGACGGGAGCCACACCTAGGGTTACTAGGGACAGGAGACACAGATTTCTGCAGACCAGGGTTTTGCACCGTTAGGGCTTTAACTCTCGCCCTCCTTTGTGATCGAAGTAGAAATTGTAAAACTTCCTTCAGTCTTAAATGAACTTTCAACACAGATGTAATGACTAGAGGCGATTTGAAGCGGTTGCGCTCCTGGACGCGCTTTCATAAGCATCACCCAAGCCCAGTGCCTCCTCTGTGCCTCTGCTCCTGGGCCTGGACTGAGGAGCGTGTCAGGAATTCATCTCTGTTCCCTTACCTTCTCTTGTGGCCACAGCAAAGCAGACCGGGAGCACGCACCCCAGCTGAAATCAGATGAAAATGCCAACATCCAGCCCAACCCCGGGCTGATCCTCCGCGCGGAGCCCACCGTCACCAACATCCTCAAAGTGAGTGCGCTGTTCCCTTGCCACCAGGGGCATACCTTCCCTCTTTCCAGTTTCCCTCTTCTTCCAGGTAAGTAAATAGGCCACGGACCTCTCTCTCTTCTGGTTACTTTGGAAGTAGAGAAAGGGGGAAGGTGAGGAAAGCGCCCCTGGAAACAAGCGTTTGTTGAGCTTCACTGGTCAGCCAGGCGCTGTGGTGGGTGTGGAAACGGCGCTGAATTGCACAGCAGAGACCTCGCCCATCCTGACTCCAGCGCCATCGTCCCAATTTAGTCGAGAGGAATGGATCGGAGAGCAAAGAATTTAAGGAACGGATTTCCAGATTGGAGTCAGATGTCGATTAAATGGCAGGTCCTGGTGTCCCGTTTAATAGAGACATGCAGAGAGAGAAACTGTGGCTAGGCTGTATCTGGGGGGGTCTTCAGTGTTCTTCAGAATTTGATTTCCTGTCTTGTCCCCAGACAATGGATGCAGACCACTCCAAGTCCCCGGAGGGGCTGCTAGGGGTCCTGGGCCACATGCTGTCTGGGAAGAGCCTGGACTTGCTGCTGGCTGCTGCTGCGGCCACTGGGAAGCTTAAGTCCTTTGCCCGGAAATTCATCAAGTAAGGAAGCCTGAGCCTCTGACCAGGGTCTGGGAGGCATGTGTGAAGGAGGAGGTGGGGACTTCCCTGGTGGCCCAGTGGCTAAGACTCTGTGCTCCCAATGCAGGGGGCCCGGGTTCGATCCCTTGTCAGGGAACTAGATCCCACATGCCGCAACTAAGAGTTCACATGCCGCAACTGAAAGATCCCACATGCTGCAATGAAGACCCCGTGTGCCGCGACTAAGACCCGGCACAGCCAAATATAAATAAATAAATATTAAAAAAGAAAGCAAGCAAAAAACAAAGGAGGAGGTGGCAGAATAAGGGCAAGGCAGTGGGGTCTGAGTCTCCCCAGAGATGCCAAGGCAGAGCATCCCAGCTGGAGACCTGGGGGAAGGGCCCATTCTCTGGACATGAAGTGCTGTTTTCTCTTCAGCTGAGGATGGAGTGGAGGTGTTTGGCAAGGTGACGAGGTGTTGAACAGCAGATGTGGAGGGATTGTGTTCATACCCACTTATTAATAAGGGACTCTCAAATTCTGCTGAGTTTTTGGATTGACCTGGAATTTGATGTGTAGAATGTTGTTCCATTCAGCGAGCCATTCTCTAGGCCTTGGAAATCTTTTAAAAATAGAAAGAGTTCTTGTTTCTGTAGCAATGGTGTTCCTTTTAAGTTGAACCCATAATTCAGACTCTAGTGACCGCCTCTCTGAGTGGGCAGAGCCCCTGACCCCAGCCGCTGCCCACCCCTTGCCCTGGTTGATGCAACCTGTCTCCATTCCTTCTGCAGTTTGAACGAATTCACGACACACCGCAGTGAAGAAAGCAGTAAGTCAGCTCCACACACCCCCAGGCCCAGTGGTGCTGAAGGAGGGGTGTGGAGGGAGAGAACAGGGGAGGGAAGAGGACGCTTTTGCTCATCCTGGGGAGGCTGTGTTCTCCCCTAGGGATGACTGACTGAAGCTTTTGGGGAGCCTTGAAAGAGGGTCATGCTGGGAAAAGCATTCTTCCCAAACCACCCTTTGTCCCTCTCCATCCCCTGTTACGATTTGGTCAGGTGTTGGGGGAAAGGAGGGTTCAGGAGTCTTTGGTTCCAAGGAAGGGATGATGTTCCAACTGAGACTCTCAAGAAAAGGATTCTGAGCCTCAGAGCTTTGAAGGAGCCACTCGGTCCCTGACCTTCCTTGAGGCAGATCCTGAGCCCCTCCCGACCCAGACAAGGCCTTTGGGCCCCTGCCCTAGGCTGGGGGTCAGCCTTTTCATCCTTCACAGCCAAGGCGGCCTCAGTTCGAGCCTTGCTCTTTGACATCTCCTTTCTCATGCTGTGCCACGTGGCCCAGACCTATGGCTCAGAGGTGAGTGACGGGGAGCAGTCAGGATTGGGGCACTTGGGACAAAGGGGAAGGTAACAACCAATAACTCTCCCCACCTCACACCCCTACCCCACCCCCGTCAATGTCCCAAGCCAGTTAGTTCTCCTGGCTGCAGAAATCAGATGCCCCCGCCCCAAGTCAATAGATGCCCCCTTGTCATGTCCTGAATCCTTCAGTTCCACACCCACCACTAGGTGGCAGCATAGCCCGTGTCTTTCTCCCTCAGACCAGTTTGTCCCCAGTTCTTCAGGCTGGGAGCGGGGAAGCCACTGGGCAGGAAGAGAGGTGCAGGGTGCTGCACCTCCCCACCCGCTCCTTTCTCAGGTGATCCTGTCCGAGTCAAACACGGGAGGAGAGGTGTTCTTCTTTGAGACCTGGATGCAGACCTGCATGCCCGAGGAGGGAAAAATCCTGAACCCTGACCACCCCTGCTTCCGGCCCGACTCCACCAAAGTGGAGTCCCTGGTGGCTCTGCTCAACAATTCCTCGGAGATAAAGCTGGTGTCAGTGGCCTGGGTGCCCACTCCAAGGGTGGTAGTGCGGGTAGGGCCCAGACCCTCTCCCTCAGCCCATCCCACGCCCCCCAGTGGTGATTTTTCTCCCATTCCCACCCTCTTGTAGGCAGATGAAGTGGCATGAAGCCTGTCTCAACATTTCGGCGGCCATCTTGGAAATCCTCAATGCCTGGGAGAATGGGGTGCTGGCCTTTGAGTCCATCCAGGTAGCCCCACCTTTCCAGCGGCCTTCTCTCTTCCCTGAGACACAGAGGCAGTCTTCGATAGCTTGTTAGATTTCATAAGAACGAAAAGGCCCTTAATCCAGGAGCCTGTGTGTGGTTCTTGATCTTTCTTGTAGTCACAGTGTTAGCTGCTCCGTCCCCCGCAGGGAACTTGGGGAAAATCAGACCTGTGGTGAAAAGAGGTGTGGAACGTGGCCCTGGATCCCAGTGTCGCGCTGAGCTGCCCACGGAGGCCAGGGCAGGTGATGGCCAGGGAAGGGGAGAGGGTGGCCCCATCACCCTTCACCACTCCCCCCCTCAGAAAATCACTGATAACATCAAGGGGAAGGTGTGCAGCCTGGCAGTGTGTGCTGTGGCCTGGCTTGTGGCCCACGTGCGGATGCTGGGGCTGGACGAGCGTGAGAAGTCGCTGCAGATGATCCGCCAGCTGGCAGGGCCGCTGTACAGCGAGAACACCCTGCAGTTCTACAACGAGAGGTCAGCGGCCCATCCCCTCCCTTCTGGAACTCTGCAGGTCTGTCCTGAGAAGCCAGCGCCTCCGGAAACCACTCTCTTCCTCTTCTCTTACCTTCCCAAACATGCCGCTCAGCTGCTCAGTCTCTTCCTCGCTCACTCACGTTCTCAGTCACGTCTTCACTCACTGACTCAGCAACACTTAGTGTGTGTCTCTGTGCCGGGAGTGTTATTATCCAGCACCCGCTGTGTGTGCGCCAGAACTACAGACCCCACGTGGCTATGATTCCTGCCCTCAAAGGGCTCGAGTCCTGGGGAGCTGGCTTGCCAGAACGGAATGGTTATCTTAGCTCTGTCACTCTTAAGGAACTGTGAGCCCATCTGTAGATCTTATAGGCCTTGGGCCTGTCCACCCACTCCCTACCCTGCCCCTCCAGGCCCAGCTATCTTCTGTGCCATTTTCCTGCCTGGGCTTTTCAGGGACTTGGAGGACCTCCCTAGCGACTTCAGCTGTGTTGATTCAGTGGGGTTGTTTCATTTGCCCATCCAATAAGCTTTTTAAAAAAAATATGGTAAAAAATACATAACATAAAGTTTACCACCTTAACCATTTTTAAGGGCACAGTTCAGTAGTGTGTTAAGTATATTCACACTGTTGTGAAACAGATATCCAGAACTTTTTCATCTTGTAAATCTGAACCTGGACCCGTTAAACAACAGCCCTTCCTGTCCTTCCCCCAGCCCCTGGCAGCCACCGTCCTACTTTCTGTTTCTATGAATTTGATTTCTTTAGGTACCCCGTGTAAGTGGAGTCATGTAGTGTTTGTCTTTTTGTGGCGGGCATATCTCACTTTGTGTAGTGTCCCCAAGGTTCAACCATGTCATTGCATGTGTCAGAATTTCCTTCCTTTTTAAGGCTGGATCGTATGTATATACTACATTTTGCTTATCCATCCCTTGGTTGATGGACACGTGGGTTTCTTTCACTTCTTGGCTTTTGTGAATAGTGCTGCTGTGAACGTGAGCATGCACCAAGCAATGAGTTATGAGTGATGACCCACAAGGTAGCCATCAGGATGTCTTTTAAGAGAAGTGGAAACACTGAGCTGAAATGAGGTTGGGAGGATCTGTAAAATCCCGTCTCCTCTTTATTCCTCCCCTCCCTCAGCATCCTCCCCGCAAAAGTCATGGACTGTTTTCTGTGACGTAATCCATTCTAAGCACCCTGACTCCTGTCTGGGAAATCTGTGGCTCCATCATGCAGGTGGAAATAGTGGCCGTGAAAGTCACAGTGACTTTCCCAGAGCCACCCAGTGTTCCCCGAACGGTTAGCGCTCAGGCCCAGGCCTGCAGTCCTTGTCGAAGACTCTTCATGAGAAAATTCCTGGATATACATTTATATTTACCCAGCTACCAACGGCCGGGAAAAGTCTTGTGGGGCAGCCCTTGGGCCCCTGTCCTGGAAGTAACAGTTACTTTGGGAGGAGGCCAAGGCTGGGTGGGGAACCCCCGCAAGCACTCAGCCTAGAGGGAAGTGATTGTATTTATTTATGCCAGAGGATTGTCAAGGCCCAGGCCTGGGGGATGGAGGAAGTTGGAGAGAGAGAGTGAGAGAAGGTATGAATGAATACATTGCTAGAATGATCTGGAGGAGGCAAGTGCCCCCGCCCCCCATAGGCTGGTGCCGGAGCAGGACTCGTGGGGTCAGGTGTCCTAGGGGTTTGCAACTTCCCCTTGTCTCCTCCCTCAGCGTAGAATGGGGTTAATTCCGTAACCCGAGTCCTGGGAAGAGTCAGGCCTGCCTGTTCCTGCCCCCACCCCAGCTATTGAACCTGCTGCTACCTGAACCACAGGCCCTCTCGCCTCCCTCCCCCCATCAGGGTGGTGATCATGAGCTCCATCCTGGAGCATATGTGTGCGGACGTGCTGCAGCAGACGGCCACACAGATCAAGTTCCCATCCACGGGCATGGACACCATGCCCTACTGGAACCTGCTGCCCCCCAAGCGACCCATCAAGGAGGTGCTGACGGACATATTTGCTAAGGTGCTGGAGAAGGGATGGGTGGACAGTCGCTCCATCCACATCTTTGACACCCTGCTGCACATGGGAGGCGTCTACTGGTTCTGCAACAACCTGATTAAGGTACTGGGGTCGGGGGTGGGGGTGGGCTGGGGGGAACAGGCATTCTCAGACCGCCGGAGACAGCTGAGAAAACGCCTGACAGGACCAAGCGTGGTCTGGTCCTCTGGCTTCTCAACCCCCAGCCCAGTCGGCGGGGCTTCTCTGCGAGGCCCACTGAATGCAGAGAAGATTCCTTGGACTCCAGAGGCCGGTCCTTGCCTCGGGAGCTCCTGGGGTCTGAAGGGAGTTGCAGGACGTCACTGCCCACGTTGAGGGCCCTCAGCTCCTCGGTCCTCCTCTGCCCTGTCCTTCCAGGAGCTGTTGAAGGAGACGCGGAAGGAGCACACGCTTCGGGCGGTGGAGCTGCTCTACTCCATCTTCTGTCTGGACATGCAGCAAGTGACCCTGGTCCTGCTGGGCCACATCCTCCCTGGCCTGCTCACCGACTCCTCCAAGTGGCACAGCCTCATGGACCCCCCTGGCACCGCTCTCGCCAAGTAGGATTTTGTGGAGAGCCTTAAGTCCCCCCAGCCCGGAGGGGGGCACCCTGCCTGGGCCACCCAGGAAACTGGGCTGTGGGGAAGCCCTGTCGGGTGGGGCCTGATCAGCATGGGCACAGAAACCGCGTTGGGGCCTCTTTGATTTTACCCCCTTTTCCTGGACCCCTTTGCCAGGCTGGCCGTCTGGTGTGCCCTGAGTTCCTACTCTTCCCACAAGGGGCAGGCGTCCTCCCGCCAAAAGAAGAGACAGCGCGAAGACATCGAGGTAGGATAGGGGCCCCTTCCCCCGTTCATTGCCCTTGTGCTTGTTCAGCAGATGTTCACTGAGCCTCTTCTGGTAAGAGGCGCCTTCCCGGGCACAGGCAGCCAGGCATGGTCCCTGCCTCTGGGCCACTGTGTCAGGGGTGAGTGTGTGGGAGGGTCTCTCCCTAGGGTAGTGGGAGAGGCGAGGAGAGGGAAGCTGACCCTCTGGAGATGCTACCTGCGGCCTATGGGGGCTTAACTCCAAACTGAGCTCCAGTCCTGGAAGATTTGGGGATGCAGCTGTGGGTAACAGTGGCTCTCCTGCCCCCCAGGATTACATCAGCCTCTTCCCCTTGGATGACATGCAGCCCTCGAAGCTGATGCGACTGCTGAGCTCCAATGAGGAAGATGCAAATATCCTTTCGAGTCCCAGTGAGTGTGTGGACAGGGGCCGGGCGGGCTGTTTCCTTTCCCGGGAACTCACTCCTTCTGAGAGCTGCTCTGCATCTCGCTGACTGGTCAGAGAGGCTGTGGTAGGAGTCTGCCCCATTCTGTCCCCTACAGATGCTCTGTTTCCTATCCTCGAGCGACCAAGGGTTGCTGTGGATCACTCCCTGAGGGTGAAGCTCTTCTGCCCAGATCCCATCCTAGCCCGGGGTGCACAGCTGACCCTTCCCCACTCCTCACGGCAGTGAGTTCACTGCCTTGGGCACAGTCTGTGCCACTGATTCACAGCTCTGACCTTCCTTCCCCTGAAGCAGGCCCCGAGACCTGGAGCAGGCCTGGGCTGATACTTGGGACTGCTCCCCACTCTTCCTGCCGGGAGAGCACCCCAACTCCACCTGCTTCCCTAGATGTCATCGCCTCTCCCTGCTAAGGGCTCTTCGTAGCGTTTAATTTTTCCTGTTTCCAGAGATTTCTTCTGAGCCTAGAAGTTTCTCTGAGGTCTTTCAGGGACCAGGGGACCAATTGTGCACTTGAACAGAGGAAAGATTCTATGACCTTTGGCTAGTTACTTAGCAAATCTTAGTCTCACCTTCCTTGTCTGTAAAATGGAGATGTGAGGATTAGCGGTTTCAGCCATATGCAGCCCGCAGATTGGCACCTGGCGGTGCTGACCAGATGGTAGTTCTCTCTTACCTGCTTGTGGGGAAGCCTGTATTTGGGGCCCGTGTGACTGGACCCAAGCATCTTCTCCGGCCGGGCCCTCCACCCCCGACAGGTGAGGGCTCCTGTGGGCGGCGGTTCGGAACGCAGGAGGCCGTTTGCTCAGTGCCCCTCGCTTGCCCCACAGCGGACCGGTCCATGAGCAGCAACCTGTCAGCCTCCCAGCTTCACACGGTTAACATGAGAGACCCGCTGAACCGAGTCCTGGGTGAGGCCTCCCAGCCCTGTTCCCCACCCTCTGCCCCCCGTCCCCGCTGATTGCCAGCTCTCCTGTCTCCCCCAGGCCCCCGTCTCGTCCCTCTCTGGCTCGCCCCCAGCTTTCCTTTGTACTTTCTCTTTTTGACGTCCCCATTTGGGGGGACACCCTTAGCGCTTCTTTGTTCTCCCAGAATCTGACCTCTTCCCAAACCTTCTCATGGAGTTCTCCTTCCCCCCGCCACCCTTTCCTCTCAGCCAACCTGTTCCTGCTCATCTCCTCCATCCTGGGCTCTCGGACCGCCGGCCCCCACACGCAGTTTGCGCAGTGGTTCATGGAGGGCTGCGTGGACTGCCTGGAACAGGGCGGCCGAGGCAGCATCCTGCAGTTCATGCCCTTTACCACAGTGAGTGCCGCGCCCCCGGGCCGCTGGCCCACCCTCCAGCTCAGAGCGGGTCAGCACGTTGCAGGAGAGCTTGGGGTCCGGCGGCCAGGAGGGAGGGCTCCTTCCTCCTGGACGTCACACCCACCATTACCTTGCTGAGCAGCTGTCTGTCTGTCTGACAGGTATCAGAACTGGTGAAGGTGTCAGCCATGTCCAGCCCCAAGGTGGTTCTGGCCATCACGGACCTCAGCCTGCCCCTGGGCCGCCAGGTGGCCGCCAAAGCCATTGCCGCCCTCTGAGGGGCTTGGAGTGACCGCAGGGGCTGGCAGGCAGGGTCCCAGCCCTGGGCGCCTCAGAAAAGGACATGTGGAAAGATGAGACATCATTGCTCATATCCACATGATGTAGCTGCCCTCGGTCGGTTTCCAGATCTTTCCCCTGCTCCTGACTTCTGACCTCTAAGACAGCTCCCAGTTTCTTTCATAATTTCCTTTCCCACTGCCAGCACCTGATGCGTGTGAGCAGCCTGGCTCCTTGACTCCGGGCGGTCTCACTGCAGCCCTCCCTGTGCACGACCCCTGTGTGCGCCTCCAGCTTCCAAGAGTGGATTTACCTCCGGGGAACTTTACAGGTGCAGGGTATGTGTGTATATGTGTGTGTATATATATATAATCTCTTTTTACAGGGGTGTGTTCACCTCGGCTGGCTTGTAAATAAAGACCTCGTGGATCCCTCTGTGCCTGTTGGTGCTGTCGGTGCCTGTGTCCGATGGGGGTGGGGAACGGCTGGCTCTGCCTTGGACCCGTGCAGGCTGTGCTGGAGGAAGCAGGAGGGTGCAGAGGAGGGCTGGGCTCAGGGTCCCTGTTTGTGCGCTCAGTAGGGGCGGGACAGGGCGGAGGGAGCAGCTTCCCTTCCTCATACCCGCCTGCCGCTTCCCCCCACCTTGCAAAGTCAGACTTACTCTGAAAAGGGAGAGGTTTTGGCTAAAGGCCCCGCTGGTGCTGGGGTAGGGTGTCCTGTTCTGATGTTCCCCAGCCCAGCCAAGCCCCACCCAGAGTCTGACTGGCCCGGAATTGGATCTTTCCTCTCCAGAAGAGGACTTGGGGGTATGAGGGGTGAGGGGCTGAGGCATGAGGGGGGATGGAGGCAGGAACTCTGTTTAACCCTTCTTTGCCTGCTCGTCTCCAAGCCCCGGTTTTTCAGGACCAACTAGAGAGGGGGGGACCCTGAGCCGTGCAGCTGGGGGTTCTAGCCCCACTCAGCCCGACCCTGCTTTTTTTTTTTTTTTTTGCGGTACGCGGGCCTCTCACTGTTGTGGCCTCTCCCGTTGCGGAGCACAGGCTCCGGGCACGCAGGCTCAGCGGCCATGGCTCACGGGCCCAGCCGCTCTACGGCATGTGGGATCTTCCCGGACCGGGGCACGAACCCGTGTCCCCTGCATCTGCAGGTGGACTCTCAACCACTGTGCTACCAGGGAAGCCCCTGACCCTGCTTCTAAGAAACCAGATGGGGAAGGGAAGTGGGAAGTGACTCAGGAGCTGAGGATGGGGAAGTCTTGGGAGGGGACCTGGGGACCGGTTGGCCATCTGGACGTCCTTGGTCTGGTGGTGGCAGCCTGGAAGCATACGTGCATCTTCAGCTGAGAGCACAGAGAGGTTTGTCTTGAATCTGTGCTGTGAAACGGCCCCTCTAGTCTCCCCAGGTGTGAGCTCAGGCCTCTTCAGCCCATGAGGCCCGAGACAGGTAGGAAGGCTGCGGGCTCCCCACCAGATCAGAGGCAGTGCTTGACGAGGGACAGAAGTGCAGAGCCTGGAATGTGGGGTCCAACCCAAGCTGTCACCTTGACCTCAGCTTCCTAATCTGTAAAAAGCCCTTCATAATTCTATCTTTGTGGGCAGCTGTGAGCATGGATGGGTGAAGGTTTATGGAAGATGGTAAACTGAAGCCCTGTGCACATGTTAAATCCTCCCTCACTTCGGGCCCGTGTCCATCTGTGTCTGGACTGTTGAGCCCCCCAGTCCCCCTCTCCCAACCCTACTCTCTCCTCTCCCGGTACGGGTGACCCATCTACCTTCTGTCCTCCCTGCTAGGCGGTGGCTCCACAGGGCCAGGGACCACGCCTGCCTCATTCACTGCCGTGTCCTAGCACCCGGCCCAGTGTCTGCACCCAGTGGGTGCACCTCCTCTTCCCTTCCTTCGGGCCTCGCCCTCCATTCAACTCCCTGCCCGCGACCCCTGGCCAGGCAACAGCTGGACTCAAGAAGGAGGAAGGACATTTACTGGAGACAAACACTTTATTATCGTGAAGTTTGGCTACAATGAGAAAGTGGGGGCCGAGGGGGAAGGTGAACAGTCGAGCGTCCCTCTCACACCCCGTCACACGAGCCCCCTCATCTTTTCCCTCCCACATTCCCAGTCCCACCCAGCAAGGCAGAGACACGACTGCCCAGCCTGAAAAGGAGTCAGAATCCCAGCCCTGACCCCGGCAGGGTGGGGCAGGCGCCACTAGCCTGATGGTGTCTATAGCGCATCCAGAAAAACAAGAGGCGTCACTGATGGATGCCTGGGCTCCCCACACAAGAAGTCAAAATGTGCCCGAAAAAAATCTTAAAACGATTCCCCAGCAAATTCGCGGGACCCCAGGGTCAAGCGTCCCGGCTTCGGCTGCCTCTGATGGGCTCCGTGCCCGAGGCAAAGGGGACTCAAGGGAAGCGGCCAAGTCAGGCCAGAGCCAGGGGTGCAAGGACCCAGTTGGGGAACACTGCTGTTTAAATATTAAACAGGGCTGTCTCATCTCCCACGTGGGAGACTTCCCGATGATTCCAAGGTCCCCGAGGTAGGCACCCTCAGGGTAGGGGTTCGCTGTGGCTCTCCCCAGAGCCCACCACGGAGCCAGGCAGGGAGCAGTCACAGGAAGTAATACTTGGTATTTACCAACTCCCTCCCAGTCCAGGGGACAGGAAGACGGGAGTTTTTCTCCCTGCTACAGGCGGGAGAATGAAACTTGGAGGTGGAGGGAAGGATCCAGGAGTCTAGGGCTCCTTTCTGTCTTCCCCGTCTTTAAATATTAGGTTTAAATAAGCATAAATATTAAATAGAGATAAATACACTGGATGGGGAGGGCTTTGCTCAGGGCTCGGCCAGGTAGCGCAGGACACGGTACGCGAGCTCCAGGAAGCTCTGCAGCTTGGAAGCAACCAGGACCCCTCCTGCCCGGCGCTGGAAGGCTGAGGTGAAGGTCGGCATGGGGCCCTGGGTGGGCTGCACGGCAGGGGCCACCCCCAGGTCTTCCATCTGTGGGGGAAGGTGAGGTCAGCAATCAGGCCCTGCTGAGTGGGTAGTTAGCACAGGAAGGAAAGGCAAAGGGCTGATGGGCTGTAGACGAACCAGGGTTCATGGTGGAGCCAGGACCGAAACCAGGTCTCTTTAAGGTGTCTTTAAGGTCCAGTGACCCCGCCTCATGCCCTCAAGTAGGGGGTGGGGGTGGGGGAGGGTCCTGGGATGAGGTGGTAGCTCCCTACATCCAGCCCACCGAGAACTCCACCAGCTCTAGAGAACTCCGGGGTCCCCAGGCTGGCAGCACCACCTTTGGGGACCAGCTCGGTCCGGGGCCCTAACGCTTGCTGCTCCTGAAGAGACTCACCTGCAGCCAGATGTTGGTGGCAAAGTCGGTGACGTCCAGCTGCAGTATGTCCAAGGTGGGGGCCAACTCTGGGGAGATCCCCGCCAGGGCCTGCAGGAGGCCCTGGAAGAGGAAGAGGCCGCCGTGCAGTTGGCGCAGGCAGCCTGTCTGGGAGATGGGATAGGAAAGTCAGGGGACGCTGCCTGGGCTGCTCACCTCAGGGCCCCAGCATGGAGCCTGGAGGACTGGGGAGCCTTCCAGGTCATCCTTTCCCGCCCGTCCCCTCATCTCCCTTCTCCCCTCCGGACACTCACCAGCTGCAGGGTCTGGCTGGAGCAGCTACTCAGGGAAGCCTGGGGGATGCCCAGAGAGTGCCCAAGCAGCACCAGCTCCTCAGGGTGGCACAGCTTGTGGGTGGTGCACTGGGGATGGGAAGGATGCTGAGTGAGGGGGACTGGCAGAGCCGGGCGGCTCCTCCTTCCCGAGTGCCCCCATCTCTCCACATCCACATCTACCCCTCCCTCCACGTCCCGCCAGGCTTCTCAGCCCCCGTTCCTCCGTCCAAGCCCCCAGCCAGCGCCTCCCAGCACTGTCCCCTAGAGGTTCTTCCCCCAGTTCCCCACCAGCCGCCAGGGCTCTGCCTCTCCTAATTTCCTCCCATTTCCCCTGAGTCTCTCCTCTCCCATCCCATGTCCCTTCCCCACGGTTCCCTTTGCTTCCCTCTGCTTCTCTCTCTCCCCTCAGCTCTGCCCCGCACACCTTCTTTCCTCCCTGCCCGCTGCTGCAGTATCTCTGTCCCCTCCCTGTCCCTCCGCAGGCTGCCCTCACTCACCAGCCTCTCCTGCAGGTCAGCGCCATCAGCCTGGATTTTCCTCACTTGCTCTAAGCACTTAAGCAGGAAGCTCTGGGGCAGGGAGCTGGCAGGGCCGAGGGGTGTGGCTTCTTGCACCGTCCAGAGTGCACTGTGCCAGAGCAGCAGCTGCAGGGCTGGGAGCAGACGGGGGCTCAGGAGACGTGCAGACCTTTCTGGGAGCCCAGGGACCCTGCCCTCTGCCGCTCCGGGCCCCGCAGCTCTCCCCTCCTGGGGCCCGGACACTCACCCATCAGCTTCATGGGGCTCTGGGCAGCAGGTTCAGCCGGGGGTCTGGATGGGTCTGTAGGTTCTGGGTTCTGTCAGGGACCAGGTCCAGGGGCCTTTATACACAAGCCCATGGAGGCCTGGGAGGAAATTACCTGGTGCTGCGACTAAGGCTTAGTAATAACTTCCCAAGATTTATGCAAATTTGGCGTCCAGGACAATGCAGGGGGGTTGGGACAAAAAAAGTGTTTGCGAAAGTTTTGTGAAATTGTGGAATCTCTGATTCTTCTTTGACGTCTTGCCCCCCTCAAACTCCCTTCCTCCCCTCAGCCCCACCCAGGTCTGAATTGCCCC